TTCTGCTTTACAGCTCTCTTGCCACGGGACAATTCAACAATCGTAATATACATAATATTAATCACTTTAACAAGGAGAAAGCTCTTTTGCTCCTTCACTGCCTTTTGTACTGCTGCAACTATTACATTTTGCACAGAGACAATGAAACAGTCAAAATATCATGCTATTCCCATTTGAATACACTACACTAATGGCCCAAACTGTTGCTCTCACACATGTTCTGCAACCAACATCCCATTTCAGATATCTGTCAAAGATGGAAGCAGCAGAAGTTGAGAATAGGTCATGTAATTGCATAACCATGCAGTATTTTAATCATCTTCTTCACCTTCTTTTCATCAAGTAACTTCAGGCCAGTACTTTTTGTCACTTGATTTAGGCCTCATGCGTGGGCCCCAGAGAGCAGCAAAGCAGGTGTCTCCTGAAAACCTCCCAGTCAGATGTGTTAGTGGGGGGCTAGTTTGTCTGATGGACGAGGCTGCAGAGCCGAGTCTCAGGAGAAATAGACACTGCAGACATCAGGAGCTCGTTACTGGCTTACTGCATATATACACTGTGTTGTATAAACTTTATGCCCCAAGCCATGTTGTCACTTTTTCTGATTTTCACTTTTTTCCTATATGTCCTGGAGCCTACTACATGCATTCAGAAAAATTCTATCACATTATCTCCTTTCATGACACTCCAACATGCAGTCATCCAAATTAACTTAATCAGATTTAGCACCTTATTTACTATAAGCTTGCAGAAAACCTAAATGAATGCAGCTTTTTCCAGGTCAGAGATCTTCCTGATTTATTCAGACCATTTGCACAAATGTAGTCACAATTTTCCAGTCAGAATACCAAACTAATCTAGATGACTGTTCTGTCTGGTCAAATCAATTGCATCAGACTTGTAGCGCAGTTGTATGGCTATTCTCTTTTCCTCACACTTTTAAAGCAGTTTCTACTACCACCTGCATATCTGTTACTGAGCCACACATTGTACTTTAATAAACAAATTCCCTGCATTATGAGAAATATGCACATAGACTTTCTCACAGTGGGACCCAAAACCTCTGAGGGAAGGTTAGGAAACGTCAGCTGACCTATTACCTTGCAGAGGTATGCAGAGAGGTTGAATGAGCATTCATTTGTTTCGGATAAAAAGAGTGAAAGCCAGTCACAGTCTATTGACGCAGAATGGCTCATAAATCACACTTACACAGTGATTTCACTTAATCCTCAGCGCATTCTTTATACAGCATGCTCATCCAAAAGTACACTTCTTCTTGGCTGAAACATGTTGGCTTTGGCCCGTTGCATCAACCTGATTCATTCTCAACTGAAAAATGTCAGCTGCAACCACAGAATTTTGCAAGCGTTAACTAATTATATCCAATACATAAATAAAAGAACAAGCATCAACTGTTAAAAATGTGTTCTGTATTTCTAGAGATTGATCGAGAGATTTTCAAGATTAAAGCGGATGTTTTGGTGAGTTGGCCAGCTTCCCCACATGTCAAAGAAGCATGTTGTCCAGCTTCATTACATCTGGTCTTTAGTTTGATCTAGCAAGGAAGCTTTTTTAAATTATTTTTTATAGCTTCTCTGCTTGATTTAACAGTGGAGAATAAATAAGAGTAGGTAGATGGCATGTAACAAATGTCAAGCACAGTTGCCTGCTTTACCAAAGGAGGGTATTTTAAAGGGTACTTTAACAGTAACACAAGTCATTTAATGAAAGCTGACATTTCTTGGAACAGTGCAATTTCTTGTGGTGAGGTGCCCCACCATCCCAACACATCTTTAAATTCCGAAACCTCATGTCAACTGCACTTTTCCATGAAAGTCTGTCAGTGAAATGTGAATGGGACACTTTCCTTCCTGGCTACCCACTTTGGTTAGGAGGCACACTGATGGTAAGTCTTCTTCTAAAAGAGTGACGACCAATTTCAAGCTTTCAGTGGGATCTATGTTGTCCATTTAACAGTTGCTCTGTTTTTTGGCTATGTCTTAGGCAGTTCTGAGAGTACACTTAAGACAGTTAGATATTGAATAGTCATTTCAGTTTCTTTTGATTTTATCGATCTATTTGCTTACATTGAGGCATTAAGGCACTGTTCACTGTGCAGAATGATGGATGTGTAGCATTTGACACTAGACACTAGAACGTTTCTCTTTGCTCACCTTAATTCTGAGTTGAACTTGTGTTCGTAAGGGCATGATTTTGTGACATCACAAATTGTTTGGAAACCAGTCATGGTCCAATATGCAACTTACAAAAATGTGATGTGGGAATGTGAACCTTCCAGCACATGTATGCTGAGAATGGACTTTTTAATGAACTATAGGAAACATGAGATTGTTTTTATATATCTTCAAATATTTCTGGAGGGGATTTTTTAGTACCATACTTTCAGTTTATAGCACTTGTGCTACTTGATACTGCATAAATGATCATAATTGTCAGCAAGAGCTTTACTCCTCAAAACAGACATTAACTGGTAGAGACAGTAATCTGGCTTGAATAAACTAAATGTAAATGAATTGAATTGTACATAATTTCCAAGAAACTGTGTTGTTTCCTGAAATTGTCTCCACCTTCTATCAAATAAGGTAACAAAGACAAAACAACATGTAAATGTCACATGCGCAATCAGCATTTATCTTGACTGAATAGAGTGTTTACTTTTGACTTTTCTACACCAGTCTGACAAATGTAGTCATCAAATGGTTGCCTGAAAGTGAGCAAGATTAACATCTATATTGACTTTGACTACACTGTAAAGGTGCTATGGGAATTTAAATAGCTAACACATGTATTCAAACTCTGAGTAATTCTTCCACAGTTCAGCAAGAAGTGTAAAACCTGCTGTGCTCCATCACTTCTGTAGCTACAAAGTGACTTGCACATACTACACTTACTGAACATTATTCCCTTGAAACCCGTCACACTCTTTGCCTGTGGTATTTAAACATAAAGGGCTTCCTGAGTTACTTTACTGTATGGTTGGATCTCTTCAGACAGGCATGTCCTCTCTTCAATGTTATTTGGTCGTAAAGGACATGAGGGCTTAAGCATTATGGGACCTGTAAAAAGAGAGCTTGAAAACACTCAACAACAACCAGCAACCCCCAAGGTGGAACAGCCATGGGACCCCCATTAACCTCCTTTCAGGGGTCTCTGGGTTGCAAGCAAAATAATCAAAAGACTGTTTGGTTGGACATGTGATAATACGTTATCTGTATGGAACCATATACATAACGTATTATGTATTTTTGCTGGCAAAATAACATGTGTGCACACAATAAAAAGTCAAACTGATTTGTGATTTACAGGAAATGTATTCTATTAGTGTTTTTCTCATCCAAGGAAGCAGTGTTCTGCACATCTTTACTTCCCTCTGGGGTTGTTAAGAGGAAATTGTCTGAAATAGTGTTTTTTGTTCTATTGAAGTAAGGAGTAAAAATGACTTTCTTGGGTTTAACATCAGTCAGAAAAAATAATGAGTGTAGCTGTTTTCACTTCTTTATGAGGAGAATGTCTATCTAACTATGTTGTTGTTGTAATTAACTGAAAAAATTGCTTGACTCACTTGAATGTGACTTTTGTTATGCTACCTTTAATTTTGGGAATTGGATTATTTAGCCTGGTAAAGTCACTGGTAAAGTGTTGCAAAGTCAGTGGAGGAATATTGCTTTTATCAAACTTAAATAAAAATAAATATGGAACAGCAGTCATAAACAGTTGAGTATGCAAAATGTGGTTTGTATGTACTTATTCTGTTATATTAGTGTCCCAGTTCAAAATGATGATTTAGCGATATATTTATCCCAAATACCTTCTTAATCCTGCTTTGGAATGACAACAAATTTCAGTTTTAGGGTACAACCTCTTTAGATGACTGTATGTACTGTTGCTTTTTTATTTTATATTTCAGACGTAATGGAGAGCTCAGAGGGTCATATTGACATTGAATAGCTGGGGATACATGTAGTCTGTGAATAATCTTGTAGATTCTTTGCATTCAGTCAAGTGTTTTGCCACAGCTCATCAAGAAGGGACCCAAAATCTTCACTTCAAGATCTTTTACCACGGATTTTGGTAGAGATGTTAATAGACAGCATTTTAAGAAAATGTGTAACAAATAATGTAGAAGACATCTGAAATATTTCCATTTGATGCAATCATAAAAAACATGGCAGTGCATTACACAAGATTGCAAAGCCAAAAAATTATTTTGAACCTGCTCAAAGGGAAATGATGAGTCCGGTACTGAAGTGACTGTTTCTAAGATTTATGTGGTAGTTTTGGAGGGCATAGACGTCATTAAGTAGCCTACAAACCTGTAACAAAAGTGCTGGTGTTTAATTTCAGTTACACCTCAACCTCATACAAATGCATACAGTGCATTGCCAGCAGGGGGTGCTGCCCACCAAGACTGCCATGTTTACTCTGTGTGTTAATGGCTACATGTATTAAACAGCGAAGACTGGGGAAGCTGCTCTGTAACCGTGGTTGTCACTCAAATCCAGTCAAAATGAAACAAGTAAGTGATTCTGTTGCTCAGACAGCAGTTACTTATTAGCATCATGATACTTTGATATGAAGAAAAGACCATTGCGCATGTACCCCACTCCCAGTTTGACATCCTCGTGCCTTTTCCTGTTACCAAATAAAGCCAGCGCAGAGAGGAGGAAAACCCCGAAAGAGGTCTCACTCTGTCGTAGTTTGTGTCACCAAGAAACGATAGAGTGTAATTGCATCAGCATCTGGAAATGTAGCGATATTAAATATGGTCCTGATAAAAAACATACTTTATGGGTAAAAGGTTTACTTGTGCCAAACCCACACACTAAATATTCTACATTTTTATTTATGAAGGAGTCGTACCGGAAACCATAGGAAGAGCCCTGAGACCGCTACGTTTTTCCTCCACTATGTTGTAATTTATCTTGGAACGCATAGACGATCTTTATAGGCGGATTGGATCAAGAGTTTCTAGAAGGAAGCTGAGTTTACACAGCCGTTTCCATCCTCGGGTCCAGGCGTGGTTTACAGATGGGTGTGGTTCCCTGTGCAGGGAAGTTTTATTGCTACAGTGAGTCAACTGGTGAATACACATCATGTTGAATGAATCATGACTAAAGTGTGAAGAAGAAGAGCAACAGCTCCAAATGGAAATGGAAATATAGTGAAGACTGGTAGTTGTTTAAATTTAACATCTTCTGTCATCTGAAAAGTTGAAGGTGTCTGGGACAGGACAGCTCGCTTGAAGAGGTAGGCTAAGTTAAATGTCACGTGTGTTATAGGGGAGTAAGAACTTGACCTTTATCAGACACACAGTCTGTTAAAATTACATTTTACATATTTTTAAGATTTTTTATGTTATTGGGTGATTGTTGCCACTCACGCCATCAGAAACAGTTTGGTGGTAAATAATAAGGATAGTGCTTCTCAGTTGGTGAATGTCATAAGCTGCTGAACAATAATATGTTTGGCCTGACCTTTCTGAGTGCACTGATCCAATAACACAGAGCATTCATGTGTAAAATATTACCTTGCCTTATAAGAAGTGCTGTGATGAAACTACAGTATTGGTTTGGATTGGTATATGAATAGTTGATGATACAGTGCCTGTATCCATGAAAAGGTCATGCCTATCAGGAGAAAGTGTTTGCCCTGTGATTGGCTGTCCATACACAGTCCAGCTGAATGGCTCCATTCAGCGGATGACACGAGAAAGTCCAGTCAAAGAAAACCTTTATTTGCAGAGTGGGAACAGTTGCTGTCACAACCCAGCTATCAGCTAGTGTTGGCAACACTAGCTGACAATGTTCTCTGTAAGCTCTGTTTGACAGTGATTAAATATGTTGTCTCAAATCAAGTTTGTGAGGATGAGTGGTTGTGTTTTAATATTGTAAATATTGTGCAACTTTTACAGAACAATGGGCCTCCTGCAGCTCCTGAAATCCCAGTTTTTGAGTCATCTGATCATCTGCTATGTGTTCCTGGCCAGTGGCCTCATTATCAACCTGTTGCAGCTCTGTACTTTACCTCTGTGGCTGGTCAGTAAGCAGCTGGCCCGCAGGATCAACATCAGACTGGGCTACTGCATAACTAGCCGTAAGTACTGTTCTATCTCTCTGCCACATTGATGGCACTGGAATCTGTTGTCTGTTGGTATTGTGTTAGTTTTGCTGCTGGAAGGAAGAAATCTGTCAACCTTTGTTGCATGCAGGCAGAGGAATTATTAATCAGTTTATATGAGCCATAAGACCACTTTACAAATGCAGTCAAACTACTCTTTTTTCACAAAACATAGACTTTTCTACATCATTGTGTCCTTATGATACTCAGAGATGGTAGCTGCCCTGGAGTGGTGGTCTGGGACAGAATGTACACTCTACACAGACCCAAAGAGTTATCCGTTGTATGGAAATGAGAATGCAATTGTGGTTCTCAACCACAGTTTTGAGATAGACTTCCTGTGTGGCTGGACCTTCTGTGAGAGATTCGGAGTTCTTGGGGTAAGAGAAAGAGTCCCAGAAACCTTTGTGAATGTCCTTTTCTGAACTTGAGGGGTTTTGGCATTTCAGTGCTATCCTTCAGTTTTTTGACATGCTTTAAATATTCATTTTTTTTCCAGAGCTCCAAAGTATTGGCCAAAAAAGAGTTGAGTTATGTACCTGTTATTGGCTGGATGTGGTACTTTTTGGAGATAGTCTTCTGCAAGAGGAAGTGGGAGGAGGACCGAAGGACAGTTGCTCAGAGTCTTCAGAACCTGTGGGATTACCCAGAAAACTACTGGGTAGGTTTCAGCCTGTGGAAATTATTATAATGTCTTTTTAGAGTTAAAGTGATATTACAGAAATATTCAGAATGATGTCATTAATGAACAATCTACTTTCCTGGGTCTAGTTCTTGCTTTACTGTGAAGGGACACGCTTCACACCAAAGAAGCACCAGGTCAGCATGCAGGTGGCTAACAGCAAAGGTTTACCCAAACTGAAGTATCATCTTCTGCCCAGGACCAAAGGATTCTGGGTAACTGTCCAAAACCTCAGAGGAACTGGTGAGTATCCATCATTAACAGAGAATTTAAAACGGCCACCAGTAGATGTAAGATACTGTGAACAGGACGGTTTTGAAGGGGAAAGGGCAAATCAAATGAGTTAACTGCTGCGGTGATCTTGTCTTGTGCAGTTGCAGCTGTGTATGATTCCACACTGAACTTCAGAAACAACGAAATGCCAACCTTGCTTGGAATCCTTAATGGGAAGAAATATCACGCAGACCTATATGTGAGGTACAATGAAATGTTTTGGCATCCAGGATTGCAACATTTCATGTCCTGTTTACTGGTGTGATCATTCTTTATCTGAGAGATCTGACTTCCCCTCTTACTTACAGGAGAATCCCTCTAGAGTTGATCCCAGAAGATGAAGCAGAGTGTGCTGCATGGCTTCACAAACTCTACCAGGAAAAGGTTAGAGTGTGTTGAAGGTGGAGGTTTCTGATGGATACAGGGTTTCTCCACAGGGGACTGTTTAGTAGAGGCAGTAAGCCACACAGATCCTGATGGATGTTGTATGTATCATTTACTGTGTCAAATAGTACTAATTATGATAGCGACATTAATGATAATAGTAATAGGACTTAAAAAATAATTGCTGCAGCGGGTGTCATGCAGGAACATGGGGCAGCAGGCGGCCTGCAACCACAGATCCAGACCCCACAGCTCCGGAGCCAGAAACACCTGCAGAAAGTAATAGTAGGGACTACAAAGCACAGAACTAAAGGAGAAAAAGTCGAGTTAGTAACATGCATTAATGGGATAAGAATGCGTACAGGTGTAGAAGGAGAGGAGGAGAGAGGAGCTTTGTGCATCATGGTCCCCCAACAGTAAGCTTTATCAAAGAGGAAAGTATCAAGCCTACTCTTAAATGTGGATGTTTTCTTTTGTTTTATTTCATAAAAGTTGGAAGGATGTAACCAGGATGTTAGTGAGGTGGGCTTTATTTCAGGGGAACTAGCCTGTATCCAATATAAAACACTGTAGCAGACCCTGGACTGTAATGTATTTTTGGTTGATTTTGGTTCTCACACTTTATGGCCTTTAAGTAATTCATTAATCTGAACTGGCTAATGTTGGAATAGGTCACAGGGTAGTAATGTATTTGTTCCTACCCCTTTCTAGGGACATTAACAGCACCATAAAATAACAAACTTCGCCATGTTCTTTTGTTAAGTGAATTTTAATTGTGTTTGCATTAATGCGTCAACAGGATAGCTTTCAGGAGCTGTACACACAGACAGGGCGTTTCCCTGGCCCCATTGTGAGTCCTCCACGCCGACCCTGGGCTTTGATCAACTGGCTGTTCTGGGCCTGCTTGGCCCTCTACCCACTGGGCCTGCTTCTTGCTCAGCTGATCATTTCTGGATCGATGGTGACCATCCTTGTGTCTGTGACTCTGTGCACTGCAGGTTGGTTTCATGCGTTCGTGCTCAAGGTGAAGTCACCCTGAAATGGGTATAACCGTCCTACCCTCATTTTAACCAGCTCCTTTTTTCCAAACATTCCATAAAGCAGCAGATTCAACAACTCAAATGTAAGTTCCCCCTTTTGGAAAACATGATTTATCCGTTTTGGGAGCATGTGCCACAATGGCATTCAGGCATGTGCTTTCATAGCAAGTTAAACATTCACCCATCAGAACAGTTAGAGTGATGTGTTAAATGGAGAAATTATGTCTCTAACAGCATGGGGGTTTCATGAGGAGCATGTTACATTTTCCACAATAAATAAATGCCCATGTTTGTTGTTGAGTTTAAAATGACAAATACTGTTTTCTTGAAGTAGACTGGCTGGATTTTAAGCATTTATTTAAAATGTATTGATTAAATTGGAACTAAATTTTGGATTTACTCCATACACTGGTTGTCGACAGACTTAGCATTGAATCTCAAACTAAATTCTGATCCTGAAAAATCTTCACACTTTGAGGGGGAAATTGACAAAAATTAAAAAGGGGATTTACTGTGGAAATAACCATGTCATGTACAGGATCGCAAAACCTGTCACCACTTCGTTGTCTATGAAGATTCTCAGTCATCCAAGTCATAGTTATCCAACGAAGGTTAAAATCAAGGGCAACTGGACTTGGTTGAAGATACTGGAAGACGTTTCGTCCCTCATCAAAAGGACTTCTTCAGTTCTGACTGACTGGCAGGGAAACTCAGCTACTTAACCTCAGTGGGGTCGTTGGCCCGGGTCATCGATACCGCTGGTTCGTTAGTGTTCCTTGTTTCTGTGACGACAGTCGTTACAGAAACAAGGAACACTAACGAACCAGCGGTATCGATGACCCGGGCCAACGACTGTAACGACTGTCGTCACAGAAACAAGGAACACTAACGAACCAGCGGTATCGATGACCCGGGCCAACGACCCCACTGAGGTTAAGTAGCTGAGTTTCCCTGCCAGTCAGTCTGTCACCACTTCTGTGTGACTTTTTCAGATAATATTCCAAATGTACCTTTTCTGAATCTTTCTTTCGCAGCTTCACTGGCAGTTCGCTGGATGATTGGACAGACGGAAATTGACAGAGGCTCAAGCTATGGGAATAAGGAGGTTCCTCTAAACAACAACTAAAGACTCCTGGCCTGCTCAGAGCTGCTTCTTTGCATCTGCAAATTTAACGGCAGAAGAATGTAAACATCAGTCTGACAGGATATGCTGATACCACTACAAACTTGAGTCTAAGCACAATGAAGACATGGTAGCATCGTTTTAATGCTATGCTTCAAAAGACAATGTAAGATCATGGAAAGTGGACCAGCTGCCTTTGGGAAAGTTATGATTAGAATGTCAGGCAAGATAAAATAATGCTTTACTACACTCTCCTCAAATCAGAGTGCAAATATTTGAATACAGTCAAGACAAACATTTTCACCAGCAAGTGTTTTTCCATAACTTTAAAATCAAAACTGCTCCACCAAATTAAAATTTGCTCAAAGATTGTACTCAAACCTCTTGAGAAACTCGCAGACTCAATCAGCTTAGCATCATAAAATATGAAAGCTGGCCAGCAACATTGTCTCTGACCCCAACCATCCAAATGCATGCAAGTTAGCCTCAAGAATGTTTCTAGCAGTATTGTAGAAAGTGCGACAACAAGCCTGACAACATTTAAATATGTATTGAAGCAAAATAAGCCATGGAGTCTAGTTTATGTATCGGAAGGATTACCGCGAGTAACTTCAACAGTAACAAACCGTAAACAAACGACATGCAAGCACACAAACACAACATCCAAATGAACATAACGTCTCCCATAATATTAGGTTACCTAGTATAGCATTTGGTATTATGAATCAACCCAAATTATCCCATTGTCCTAGCAACACTTGTATTTTAAGGTCTTCATTGCCATAAATCCCTTTGCAAATGCTTTACAGACAAATACTATCATATAATGTAAGAGCAGACAAACACACAGTATGTAACATTACTCTTAGCAACACTTAGCAAACTGTCACTAGTGCCAAGCTAACAAAGCTAACCAGTAGGGATCAGCCATCAAAAACATGACGAAAAACGGACAAGACAGTACTGACCTATCGTTTGTGTGAAACAGCAAAGCTAATGTAAGCAGAAACAAAGCAATGGTATTTATTTCTTTCAAGTCTCTGAGGTTTCTCCTGCATTGAAATGCCTCACTGATGTTAACACAAGTCTTTCCCCTTGCCTGGTCATATAACTTCTTTCTCTCTTTATACCCTTCAGATCTTTTTCATTTTGGCTGTTTCTCAGCCATCTCTCCTTCACAGAGCCTCGACTCCAGAACGCTCAAATGTGCCGGTGTATCCAACTCTCTCTCCCACTGCCCACTGGCAATTACTCCTGTTTGCGAGCATGAAATCCACCTTTTGGTGATTGGCTGGAACAATGTTGTGGGGATCAGGGCCAAGTCACTTTCTTTGTGTTCTATTTACAGAACCAGGGCCATGTAGGAAAACTTGATTTTTTTAGAGCACACACACCATACACCAGTCAATCCTAAAATTAAATATGGAGCTTAATCCCAGATCACATTGAAGGGCCTTGAATATTGTCTCCTGTGATTGTAATGTTTTGTTAAATGTATCTCTGTTTCTTGTCATCATTTTTGTCTTTTCTGTGATGTTGCAAAAGGAGCTGCTGTGATGCAAGAAAAAAACAATACATTATCATCATGATCACACTGCAATCTAAATTCAACCAAGTGATAAATAGACTACCTCTTTTAGTGTAGTGTAAAGCATAAATGACATTTTCATGGTGGAAGAAAATAAACATTTCACTATAAAAAAAAACCATATTTGTTTATTAATATTGTTTGTACAAAGCAAACAGTGTAAGAGCAGCAGAGGACCAGAAGTTGTAGTGTGTGGAGGTGTTTGGTTGTGGGTAGGTGTTGTGTTCAGCAGCAGGAAGGAAGAGCAGGCCCCGTTTCTCAAGAACATCTCTTCACCAGCAACTACAGGTCCTGAAGGCTTCACCTTCATTAAGCTTACTCCTCAGCAAAGGCAAAAACAGAACACATTACAAAATAAATAAATACTAAATTATGCACTGAGTATCAGAATATACTCTATTTTATATTAATAAGCAGGGACACTTTAAAATAGATACTAAAGAAGTGTCTCATCATGATGTCCACATCACTGTATATGAACTCGAGCCTCCGCAGGTTTAATATCCATCATCCATCCATCGTCAACCGCTTATCCTGCGTACAGGGTCGAGGGGGGCTGGAGCCAATCCCAGCTGACATCGGGTGAAAGGCGGGGTACACCCTGGACAGGTCGCCAGTCCATCGCAGATGTCTATAATATGTAAGAATAAAAAAAAAGGAATAGCCTGATAACTTTATTTATCCCCCATGGGAAATTGTTATTGAGGTGAGTAATAAACTGAATTATTATTGTCATCAACTGTCATCCATACATACAAAATTTAGTGAAAATGATTGAAAATTGAGAACATCTCTCATGCTGTTATTAATAACTGAAATGCAGTTGGTAGTCCTGATGTTAGTGTTTTACACCTTTTCTCAACACAGACATGAGGAACAGGATGTAACGTTAAATGTTCAGTGACTGAAGGTCTTGAGATGACTACCTTCTTCCATAAGCGCCCTTTCAGAAAAGAAGAGATTTGCACTGCGTGGAAGCTGGGTTCAGCGCAAAAGTTCAACTACTCTGACCGCGGCGTGCGCACAAACTGCCGTGCATGGCGCGGCACAATCCATTGAAAATAATGGGTTTCGTAGCGCAGCGGTGCTGTCGTTGGGGTGGGTCTGAAAGGTTACATGCTGCTTTGTTTGTTTATGTTGCACTGAAAGCTGGACTCTCACCGCTGTGGCATCGATTGTAAGTGACACGTTTATATTTAATTCCCTACCAACTTGCCACGTTATTTAACTCAGTTTTTATATATTATCTTTAGCCTACTTGGGCGTGCAAAGGTGGATGGTGATCCCGCAGGTGCTGCATCAAATTTGATGTAGTTATTCGCAAGTATTTGAACAGGTGATCCGTCATCTTCAGTATCAGTATAAATAAAGCTTCAGAGTTTGGTCCCTCTGCCATAGTTAAGCCAGTACTGTATTACCCTCCGTGACTCTGACAAGCTCGGCACTTTTAACATCTTCTGTCATCTGAAAAGTTGGAGGTGTCTGGGACAGGACAGCTCTCTTGGAGAGGTAGGCTAAGGTAAATGTTGTGTGTGTTATCAGTGGCGTTTTCTCCCAGAAGCCAAGGGAAGCCAGGCTTCCCCTGTTTTCATCAGACTCTATTTATCATTTCAATAAAAAAAAACATGTTTATAGTTTCGATAAATCTTATAAGCTGTTGCGGTCACCTCTTCCCCATTTCTGACTATCTAACAATAAGTGAAACAGCGCCCCTCTAAATGTAATGCGTTGGATGTGTGGTGAAACACTATATTGCACCACCGTAGACAGGCCTTCAGTCTGACTACGCGAGGAGGCCAGGCAGAGTTGGCATCCCTTTGTGAAAAAAAATTAAATGATTAACCAATCAAATCACAGCATGCATCAACGGGAGCTGTTAGCATCTTTAGCTGGTGCAGTTATGGAGGGTGGAAATTTGGAGTTTTTAGCTATAATAAATAGTTTTACTAAACTACCACTACATCAGCAATTTAAGATTAAATCTGATGGAAGACCAACGCCAAAACTGGAGCTGGGCGTGGAGAGAAAAAAGGGGTTTTGGACGTTCAATGAGGAAAACTATATTCGTACAGTGTGGCTAAGTTAGCTAGTAGCGCCAAACTTCAACTGACTGCTGCGGAGGACGAAAAGCCAGTGGGAAATTCTATAACTTGGTTATTGACCACTTCGCCACCATGACAGACAGGAGAATTTTCAAATAGGGTGAGTGAAATGTCACCTCCTTCTCTCTCTGAACTTAACTGAACTGCAGCTATTCGTGCAATTTTTAATTTGGTTATATTGTTTGTTTTGCTTTGCTTGCCTGGATTTAGCTGCTTAATGAATAGTCAGTTGAAGTAACCTTATTGTTTTTATTGTGGTTGTGTACGCATAGATAATGAGCACCACAGACAGCACCTGCCACAGGGCACTGGGCCAGGTTAGGCTACCTGAATAATTGTCTATACTCTGTTGGTCGGGTACTCGGTTGTTAGTCTTCAGTGATGTTGTGTTATGAATATTTTGCCAAGCATTAAGAAGTATGTAGGCCTATTTGATACATGCACCACTGCTACTATGCAAATGTCTTCAATCGTCTTCTGATTGAGCTTGTGAATGCTTCTTTTATTCTTAACCTGCACCATAAGCAGCAGGCTATGTATGCTATTTGGGGTGAGAGAGAGTGAGTGAGTGAGTGAGAGAGAGAGAGAGAGAGAGAGAGAGAGAGAGAGTACATCTCTGTAAATGCAACTTTCAGCGTGTGTATTGATAACAGATAGTGCTCATTTAAAGTTTTATTAAATTTTTGTAAAATTATACCCTGCACTGTAATAGCATAATGCATTAGATAATTGCCCTCCAAAAAGGACATCCCCTCTCATGTGGCTTCCCCAAAAATTTACTCCACCCCATGCCACTGCGTGTTATAGGGGAGTAAGAGCTTAACCTCTATCAAACACAGACTGTTAAAATGACATGCTTTTTAAAAAAATGTACAATGTTATTGGGTGATTGTTGCCACTCATGCTATCAGAAACAGTTTGATGGTATATAATAAGGATAGTGCTTCTCAATTGGTGATAGTAACTCATAAGCTGCTAAACAAGATGATTGGCCTAAAGTTTCTGAGTGCAGTGATCCAATAACACAGAGTATTCATATATAAATTGATATTACCTTGATTTGTAGGAAGTGCTGTGATGATGTAGCATTGGTTTGGGTAGTTAATGATACAGTGCTTGTATCCATGAAAAGGTCATGTATACTGTCAGGAGAAAACGATTGAACTGTGATTGGCTGTCCATACACAGTCCAGCTAAAAGGCTCCATTCAGCGGATGACACGAGAAAGTCCAGTCAAAGAAAGCCTTTATTTGCAGAGTGGGAACAGTTGCTGTCACAACCCAGCTGTGCTAGTGTTGGCAACACTAGCTGACAATGTTCTCTGTAAACTCTGTGTGACAATGATTAAATATTTTGTCTCAAATCAGGTGTGTGACATGAGGGACTAGTTGTGTATTAATATTTTGAGCTATGCTGCAAAGCTAGAAAACAGCATCACAGCCAGCGACCCTGTGGCAGTGTGGAGAGGCCTGCAGACACTCGCTAACTACAGGAGACCCCAACACTGCTGGTACTCAACAACTGGCTGACAAGCTGAAAGGTTTCTACTGGGTATGAGAAGCTCACAATCACACCTCACCCCCAGCTCTAACACCATCTTCAAACAATTACCTTCCCCCACTGCCACGCTTTCAACCTCTCTTTCTGACCCCTCACCTGCACCAATGATCTGTGAAGACGATGTGAATCAGTTCTTTCAGAGGCAGAAGATCAGGAATACTCCTGGCCCAGACGTGGTGTCTCCATCCTGCCTGCCTCAACACCTCGAAACTCCAACGACATATGCAAGGATCCTGTTCGTGGACTTTGGACAGCTCGGCGTTCAACACCATCATCCCAGACATCCTCAGCACCAAACTCAACCAGCTCACTGTGCCAGCTTCCACCTGTCAGTGGATCACAAACTTCCTGACTGACAGGAGTCAGCAGGTGAAGCTGGGGAACATCACATCCAGCACCCGGACTATTAGCACTGGTGCCCCAAGGGGTGTGGGCTCTCCCACCTGCTCTTCTCCCTCTACACCAGCGATTGCACCTCACAGGAGACCCATCTGTCAAACTGCTGAAGTTTGCTGATAACACAATGGTCATTGGCCTCATACGGGACAGTGATGAGTCGGCCTACAGATGGGAGGTTGATCAGCTGGCTCTCTGGTGCGGCCAGAACAACCTAGAGCTTAACACCCTTAAAACTGTGGAGATGATCGTGGACTTCAGGAGGAGCCCCCCTACGCTGCCCCCCTTCACCATACTCAACAGCCCTGTGTCTGCTGTGGAATCCTTCATGTTTCTGGGATCCACCATATCCCAGGACCTAAAGTGGGAGCCCAACACTGACACCATCATCAAGAAGGCCCAGCAGAGGATGTACTTCCTGCGTCAGCTCAGCTGCTGATCCACTTCTACACAGCCATCATCCAGTCTTTCCTCTGCACATCCATCACTGTCTGGTTTGGATCTGCCACCAAAAAGGACAGGAACAGACTACAACAGGACTGCAGAAAAGATCATCGGTGCCAACCTGCCATCCATTTGGGACTTTTTTTACATTTCCAGAGTCAGGAAACAGGCAGGAAACATCACTGCAGATCCATCTCACCCAGAACACAACCTGTTCCAGCTTCTCCCCTCTGGTAGGCGCTACAGAGCACTGTACGCCAAAACATGTGCACATGTATGCATGTATATGTACGTGTACCTGTACTGTATATCACATCCATCTCCGACATGTACATAATAATCCATCCATCCATTCATTGTCAACCGCTTATCCTGTGTACAAGGTCGCGGCAGCTGGAGCCAGTCAGCTGACATTGGGCGAAAGGCGGGGTACACCCTGGACAGGTTGCCAATCCACCACAGGGCCACACATAGAAAAACAACCAGTCATACTCACACTCACACCTAAGGACTATTTAGGGTCACCAATTAACCTAGTCCGCATTTCTTTGGATGGTGGGAGGAAGCCGGGCACCTGGAGAGAGAACCAACGTGGACATGGAGAGAACATGCAAACTCTACACAGAAAGACCGGGGCAATGTACATAATAATGCTAATAATTTTACTCCTGCATACTTTGCACTCCACTCATTGAACTATCGTCTCAATCTGTCCATATTGTTTTTGTTTATAGTGTGTATATATGTGGTCTCTAGACTGTAGCCTGTCTGGTTTTATTATTATATTATTATTGTATAAGCAAGCACATCGTGAGCAATGCACAATCCTGAGTCAAATTCCTTGTATATGTACACATACCTGGCAAATAAAGCTGATTCAGATTTTAAGTTGTGCAACTTTTACAGAACAATGGGCCTCCTGCAGCTCCTGAAATCCCAGTTTTTGAGTCACCTGATCATCTGCTATGTGTTCCTGGCCAGTGGCCTCATTATCAACCTGTTGCAGCTCTGTACTTTACCTCTGTGGCTGGTCAGTAAGCAACTGGCCCGCAGGATCAACATCAGACTGGGCTACTGCATAACTAGCCGTAAGTACTGTTCTTGCTCTCTGCCACATTGATGGCACTGGAATCTGTTGTCTGTTGGTATTGTGTTAGTTTTGCTGCTGGAAGGAAGAAATCTGTCAACCTTTGTTGCATGCAGGCAGAGGAATTATTAATCAGTTTATATGAGCCATAAGACCACTTTACAAATGCAGTCAAACTACTCTTTTTTCACAAAACAGACATTTCTACATCATTGTGTCCTTATGATACTCAGAGATGGTAGCTGCCCTGGAGTGGTGGTCTGGGACAGAATGTACACTCTACACAGACCCAAAGAGTTATCCGCTGATTGGAAATGAGAATGCAATTGTGGTTCTCAACCACAGTTTTGATATAGACTTCCTGTGTGGCTGGACCATCTGTGAGAGATTCGGAGTTCTTGGGGTAAGAGAAAGTGTACCAGAAACCTCTGCGATTGTCCTTTTCTGAACTTGAGGGGTTTTGGCATTTCAGTGCTATCCTTCAGTTTTTTAACATGCTTTAAATATTCATCTTTTTCCAGAGCTCCAAAGCATTGGCCAAAAAAGAGTTGAGTTATGTACCTGTTATTGGCTGGATGTGGTACTTTTTGGAGATAGTCTTCTGCAAGAGGAAGTGGGAGGAGGACCGAAGGACAGTTGCTAAGAGTGTTCAGAACCTGCGGGATTACCCAGAAAACTACGTGGTGAGTTTCAGCCTGTGGAAATTATTATAGTGTTTTTAGTGTTAGAGTGATGTTACAGAAATATTTGGAATGATGCCATTAATGAACAGTCTACTTTCCTGGGTCTAGTTCTTGCTTTACTGTGAAGGGACACGCTTCACACCAAAGAAGCACCAGGTCAGCATGCAGGTGGCTGACAGCAAAGGTTTACCCAAACTGAAGTATCATCTTCTACCCAGGACCAAAGGATTCTGTGTAACTGTCCAAAACCTCAGAGGAACTGGTGAGTATCCATCATTAACAGAGAATTTAAAACGGCCACCAGTAGATGTAAGATACTGTGAAGAGGATGGTTTTTAACTGCTGCGGTGATCTTGTCTTGTGCAGTTGCAGCTGTGTATGATTCCACACTGAACTTCAGAAACAACAAAATGCCAACCTTGCTTGGAATCCTTAATGGGAAGAAATATCACGCAGACATTTATTTGAGGTACAATGAAATGTTTTGGCATCCAGGATTGCAACATTTCATGTCCTGTTTACTGGTGTGATCATTCTTTATCTGAGAGATCTGACTTCCCCCTCTTACTTACAGGAGAATCCCTCTAGAGTTGATCCCAGAAGATGAAGCAGAGTGTGCTGCATGGCTTCACAAACTCTACCAGGAAAAGGTTAGAGTGTGTTGAAGGTGGAGGTTTCTGATGGATACAGGGTTTCTCCACAGGGGACTGTTTAGTAGAGGCAGTAAGCCACACAGATCCTGATGGATGTTGTATGTATCATTTACTGTGTCAAATAGTACTAATTATGATAGCGACATTAATGATAATAGTAATAGGACTTAAAAAATAATTGCTGCAGCGGGTGTCATGCAGGAATATGGGGCAGCAGGCGGCCTGCAACCACAGATCCAGACCCCACAGCTCCGGAGCCAGAAACACCTGCAGAAAGTAATAGTAGGGACTACAAAGCACAGAACTAAAGGAGAGGGAAAAAGTCGAGTTAGTAACATGCATTAATGGGATAAGAATACGTACAGGTGTAGAAGGAGAGGAGGAGAGAGGAGCTTTGTGCATCATGGTCCCCCGGCGGTCTAGGCCTGTTACAGCATAACTAAGGGGTGGTTCTATAACAGTAAGCTTTATCAAAGAGGAAAGTATCAAGCCTACTCTTAAATGTGGATGTTTTCTTTTGTTTTATTTCATAAAAGTTGGAAGGATGTAACCAGGATGTTAGTGAGGTGGGCTTTATTTCAGGGGAACTAGCCTGTATCCAATATAAAACACTGTGGCAGACCCTGGACTGTAATGTATTTTTGGTTGATTTTGGTTCTCACACTTTATGGCCTTTAAGTAATTCATTAATCTGAACTGGCTAATGTTGGAATAGGTCAATTCAGTTGTGATGTTATGATGTTATTTACAGAAGCCCAACAATTCCCACCAAGAGCAAGCACTAGGCGACAGAGGCATTGGAAAAACTTCCTTTTAAGAAGCAGAAACCTTGAGCAGAACCATGGCTCAGGGTGGGCGGCCATCTGCCTCGATCCGGTTGGGGGTGAAGGAGAGAGACAGAGAGAGAGAGAGAGAGAAGGCAAGAGAGGAACAGAGAGAAAGAGGGCAAGAGAGGAACAGAGAGAAAAAGAGGGGGATGGAAGGAGAGAGAGGGAAGGGAGGCAGCCTACACAATATACACACACAGAGGTACAGACGGTAAAGGTGATGTTGCTATAGACTAAATGAAAAATGGTACAGATATTTATAGTAGTGTTAATGGTAACAGTCGTAATGTTAATGATTATAATAACAATAATAACAATAGGACTAGTAACAATAGTCGTTGTAGCATAGGGTGTCGAGCAGGAACACGGGGGTAGCAGGTGACCCGCAGCCACAGATCCAGACTCCACAGCTCCAGAGCCAGAAAACCTGCAGGAAGGAGAGAGGAGAGGGACGAGAAAGCACAAGACTACCGGAAAGGGGGAGAAGTTGTAGTTAGTAACATGCAATAATGGGATGAGGTTGCATACAGAGGGAGAGAAAGTAGAGGAGAGAGGAGCTCAGTGCATCATGGGAAGTCCCCCGGCAGTCTAGGCCTATAGCAGCATAACTAAGGGATGGTCACCTGAGCCAACCCTAACTATAAGATTTATCAAAGAGGAAAGTCTTAAGCCTACTCTTAAATGTGGAGATGGTGTCTGCCTCCTGAACCCAAACTGGAACCTGGTTCCACAGGAGAGGAGCTTGATAGCTGAACGCTCTGGCTCCTAGTCTACTTTTGGAGACTCTAGGAACCACAAGTAACCCTGCATTCTGGGAGCGCAGTGCTCTGGTGGGGTAGTAAGGTACTATGAGCTCTTTAAGATAAGATGGTGCCTGACCATTAAGAGCTTTGTAGGTAAGAAAAATGGTTTTAAATTCTATTCTGGATTTTACTGGAAGCCAATGCAGAGAAGCTAAAACAGGAGAAATATGATCTCTTTTCCTGGTTCCTGTCAGAACGTGTGCTGCAGCATTCTGAATCAACTGAAGAGTCTTAATGGACTTTTTCGAGCAGCCTGATAATAAGGAATTGCAGTAATCCAGCCTAGAAGTAACAAATGCATGGACTAGTTTTTCTGCATCATTTTTAGACAGGATATTCCTGATTTTCGCAATATTACATAGGTGAAAAAAGGCGGTCCTTGAAATTTGCTTAATGTGAGACTTAAACGACATGTCCTGATCAAAGATAACTCCAAGATTCCTCACAGTTGTGCTGGAGGCCAGGGCGATGTCATCAAGGGAAACTATATCTTTAGATAATGCGTCACGGAGGTGCTTAGGCCCCAGAACAATAACTTCAGTTTTATCTGTTTAACATGAGAAAATTACAGGTCATCCAGGTTTTAACATCCTGAAGGCACATTTGAAGTTTAGCTAACTGATGAGTTTCATTTGGCTTGATCGATAGATATAACTGAGTATCATCTGCATAACAATGAAAGCTTATGGAATATTTCCTGATAATATTGCCTAAAGGAAGCATATATAAAGTTAAGAGGATTGCCGAGGACAGATCCTTGAGGAACTCCATGACTAACTTTGGCGTGCATGGAGGACTCATCGTTAACATGTACAGACTGAAATAGATCTGATAAATAGGACTTAAACCAGCTTAGAGTGGTTCCTTTAATGCCAATGAAATGTTCCAGTCTCTGCAATAGGATCTGATGGTCAATGGTATCAAATGCAGCACTAAGATCTAATAAAACCAGTACAGAGAGAAGTCCTTTGTCTGATGCAATAAGGAGGTCGTTAATAATTTTCACCAGTGCTGTCTCTGTGCTATGATGAGCTCTAAATCCTGGCTGAAAATCCTCAAATAAACTATTGCTCTGTAGAAAGTCACACAGCTGTTTAGCAACTGCTTTCTCCAGGATCTTAGAGAGAAATGGAAGGTTAGATATAGGTCTATAGTTGGCTAAAACATCCGGATCAAGTTTGGGCTTTTTCAGAAGAGGTTTAATTACAGCTACTTTAAAGTTCTGTGGTACATAGCCTGTTGATAGAGATAGATTGATCATATCTAGTATAGAAGTGCTGACTAAGGGTAAAACATCTTTAAACAACCTAGTCGGGATGGGGTCTAAGAGGCAGGTTGACGGTTTAGATGAAGAAATTGTTGAAGTTAGTTGGTAAAAGTTGAGGGAGGCAAAACAGTCTAAACATATATCTGGTTCTAAGGTTCCTGAGTTTAGAGATAAGTTGGTGCCAGTTAAGGGCAGGTCTTAGTGAATTTTGTTTCTAATAGTTAGAATTTTATCATTAAAGAAGCTCATGAAGTCGTAACTACTGAGAGCTATGGGAATACTTGGCTCAATAGAGATGTGATTCTCTGTCAGCCTGGCTACAGTGCTGAAAAGAAACCTGTGGTTGTTCCTATTTTCCTCTATTAATGACGAGTAGTACGCTGCTCTGGCATTACGGAGGGCCTTCCTATAAGTTTTAAGACTATCTTGCCAAATTAAATGAGAATTTTCCAGTTTGGTGGAACGCCAATTCCTCTCAAGTTTCCGCGATATTTGCTTTAATTTGCGAGTTTCAGTATTATACCATGGAGCTAACCGTCTTTGTTTTATTATTTTCTTTTTTAGAGGGGCTACAGAGCCCAGTGTCAATCGCAGTGAGCCTGCAGCACTATCAACAAGATGATCGATTTGGGAGGGACTGAAATTAGCATAGGAATCGCATCCTTAAATTTAGCTACAGCACCATCAGACAGACATCTTGTATAGAAATTTTTGCCCAATGGTGTGTAGTTCAGGAATACAAACTCAAAAGTTATCAAACAGTGGTCGGACAAAGAGGGATTCTGTGGGAACACCACTAAATGTTCAATTTCAATACCATACACCAAAACAAGGTCGAGGGTGTGGTTAAAACAGTGAGTCGGTTCATGAACACTCTGAGAGAAGCCAATGGAATCTAAGAGAGAGATAAACGCAGTACTGAAGCTGTCATTCTCAACGTCCACATGAATATTAAAATCCCCTACAATAATAACTTTGTCCGTTTTAAGGACTAAAGTTGACAAAAACTGCAAATTCAGATAAGAATTCAGAGTACAGACCAGGTGCTCGGTACACTATAACGAAGAGAATTGGTTGCAGTGATTTTCAACTTGGGTGTGAAAGACTAAGAACAAGACTTTCAAATGAGTTATAGTTTAGGTTTAGAGCTGATTAGTAGGCTAGAGTCAAAGATAGCTGCAACTCCACCTCCTCGGGCTGTGCCTTGAGGAATGTGAGTATTAATATGACTGGGAGGGGTGGATTCATTTAGGCTAACATATTCTCCATCACCCAGCCAGGTTTCAGTAAGACAAAATAAATCAATATCATAATCTGATATTAGTTCATTTACTAGTTCAGCTTTAGAAGAGAGAGATCTGATGTTTAAGAGTCCACATTTAATTTTCCTATTAGTTTGCACTATTGCTCTTGTGGTTTTAATTTCTATGAGGTTTTCATGCACAGCTCCTCTTCTGTTTACCTTTGATTTAAATAATTTCGGTGGTCGGGGGGCAGACAACGTCACTATAGGGTTTTCACTAAGTAACTCCTGAAATTTAGGAGCAGAGAAGTGTGTTAGACTGCGACTCCTCCTGGTCTCAACTCTGGGTTGTCATGGATTTGGTCCACTAATAAACTTGGCCAGATTTCTAGAAATGAGAGCTGCTCCTTCTCAAGTGGGATGGATGCCGTCTTTCCGAATCAGACCAGGTTTTCCCCCGAAAGTCTGACAATGATCTACAAAGCCCACATCGTTTGCACAGGGTAGTAACGTATTTGTTCCTACCCCTTTCTAGGGACATTAACAGCACCATAAAATAACAAACTTCGCCATGTTCTTTTGTTAAGTGAATTGAATTGTGTTTGCATTAATGCGTCAACAGGATAGCTTTCAGGAGCTGTACACACAGACAGGGCGTTTCCCTGGCCCCATAGTGAGTCTTCCTTGTCGACCCTGGGCTTTGATCAACTGGCTGTTCTGGGCCTGCTTGGTCCTCTACCCACTGGGCCTGCTTCTCGCTCAGCTGATCAGCTCTGGATCGATGGTGACCATCCTTGTGTCTGTGACTCTGTGCACTGCAGGTTGGTTTCATGCGTTCGTGCTCAAGGTGAAGTCACCCTGAAATGGGTATAACGGTCCTACCCTCATTTTAACCAGCTCCTTTTTGTCCAAACATTCTATAAAGCAGCAGATTCAACAACTCAAATGTAAGTCTGGAAAATATGATTTATGTGTTTTGGGAGCATGTGCCACAACGGCATTCAGGCATGTGCTTTCTTAGCAAAGTTAAACATTAAACATTCTCACAATGCTTCCAACTGGACAATGGACAAACAAGTGACAATTCTAATCTTCACTTCGCACTTCTGACATATGATGGACACATCTGCTTTTAGGGGTAGATGAGTCCTTTGGTAGCAGCCACAACAGGCTCCAATGACCTTCTGACCTCCTGCCAGCCACCTCAGAAATGGAGGCTTTGAACATTGTCCCATTCAGATTCCATGTCCCCAACGTACCCCAGGATGCACAAGAAAATAACAACACTTACCACATGGCCAGTGCCGTTGTCCACGTACACCACCATTATGGATTTTGATACAAATTATGAGTATAGTTTTGAATGTTGACCACATGACCTGAGTACCTGACCCATCCCCCCTTCAGTGTTTTTTATGATATAATGTAGACACACATAATGTCCCTACAGCCTGTCAAATTACTGTATCCCCCAAGGTACAGAAAACATTTAATGGAGAAATTATGTCTCTAACAGCATGGGGGTTTCATGAGGAGCATGTTACATTTTCCAAAATAAAAAAGTGCCCATGTTTGTAGTTGAGATTAAAATGACAAATTCTGTTTTCTTGAAGTAGACTGGCTGGATTTTAAGAATTTATTTAAAATCTATTGATTAAATTGGAACTAAATTTTGGATTTACTCCAGATACTGGTTGTTGACAGACTTGGCATCCAATCTCAAAGTGATAAAATTCAACTAAATTCTGATCCTGAAAAATCTTCACACTTTGAGGGGGAAATTGACAAAATTTAAAAAATGGAAACTGGAATACTGTGGAAATAACCATGTCATGTACAGGATCGCAAAACCTGTCACCACTTCTGTGTGACTTTTTCAGATAATATTCCAAATGTACACTTTCTGAATCTTTCTTTCACAGCTTCACTGGCAGTTCGCTGGATGATTGGACAGACAGAAATTGACAGCGGCTCAAGCTATGGGACTGAGGAGGTTCCTCTAAACAATAACTAAAGACTCCTGGCCTGCTCAGAGCTGCTTCTTTGCATCTGCAAATTTAACGGCAGAAGAATGTAAACATCAGTCTGACAGGATATGCTGATACCACTACAAACTTGAGTCTAAGCACAATGAAGACATGGTAGCATCGTTTTAATGCTATGCTTCAAAAGACAATGTAAGATCATGGAAAGTGGACCAGCTGCCTTTGGAAAAGTTATGATTAGAATGTCAGGCAAGATAAAATAATGCTTTACTACACTCTCCTCAAATCAGAGTGCAAATATTTGAATACAGTCAAGACAAACATTTTCACCAGCAAGTGTTTTTCCATAACTTTAAAATCAAAACTGCTCCACCAAATTAAAATTTGCTCAAAGATTGTACTCAAACCTCTTGAGAAACTCGCAGACTCAATCAGCTTAGCATCATAAAATATGAAAGCTGGCCAACAACATTGTCTCTGACCCCAACCATCCAAATGCATGCAAGTTAGCCTCAAGAATGTTTCTAGCAGTATTGTAGAAGGCGCGACAACAAGCCTGACAACATTTAAATATGTATTGAAGCAAAATAAGCCATGGAGTCTAGTTTATGTATCGGAAGGATTACCACGAGTAACTTCAACAGTAACAAACAGTAAACAAACGACATGCAAGCACACAAACACAACATCCAAAACACAACAGAGTAGAAAACTAGCGAGAGTTATTTGAAACAGTTTTTTACAAAAATACAGTGACTGATGAGAGGACAATACGTCACATTCAGAGCTAACAAGGAACATAACGTCTCCCATAATATTAGGTTACCTAGTATAGCATTTGGTATTATGAATCAACCCAAATTATCCCATTGTCCTAGCAACACTTGTATTTTAAGGTCTTCATTGCCATAAATCCCTTTACAAATGCTTTACAGACAAATACTATCATATAATGTTAGAACAGACAAACACACAGCATGTAACGTTACTCTTAGCAACCCCCACCTTACTCCTGTTCGCGAGCACACCACCTGTTGCTGATTGGCTGGAACAATGTTGTGGGGATTGCTCCCCCACTTTTTGTGTTCTATTTACAAAACAGATAGCTAGCAAACAGTGAGGAAATACTTGGTAAATTCAATAATTTTTTTATTGGATTAAAAAAATCCCTTTAATAAGGTTACACCAGTCAATCCTAAAATTAAATATGGAACTTAATCCCAGATCACATTGAAGGGCCTTGAATATTGTCTCCTGTGATTGTAATGTTTTGTTAAATGTATCTCTGTTTCTTGTCTTCATTTTTGTCTTTTCTGTGATGTTGCAAAAGGAGCTGCTGTGATGCAAGAAAAAAAACAATACATTGTCATCATCATCATGATCACACTGCAATCTAAATTCAACCAAGTGAAAATGGACTACCTCTTTTAGTGTAGTGTAAAGCATAAATGGCATTTTCATGGTGGAAGAAAATAAACATTTCACTATTTAAAAAAGCATATTTGTTTATTAATATTGTTTGTACAAAGCAAACAGTGTAAGAGCAGCAGAGGACCAGAAGTTGTGGTGTGTGGAGGTGTTTGGTTGTGTGGAGGTGTTGTGTTCAGTAACAGGAAGGAAGAGTAGGCCCCGTTTCTCAAGAACATCAACTACAGGTCCTGAAGGCTTCACCTTCATTAACCTTACTCCTCAGCAAAGGCAAAAACAGAACACATTCCAAAATAAATAAATAATAAATTATGTACTATGGGTACTAGTATATGCTTTATATTATATTAAAATAGATACTAAAGCAATGTCTCATCTTGATGTACATGAACTCGTGTCTGCAGGTTTAGGTAAAAATGAGGAGTCACCACCTGACTTACAAGTCACTTTCTTGTGGTTTTTATAAAAAAAAAATCAATAAACTGCACTGTTACATAACAAAAACACGCCATGGAGGAGCCACAGCTGATGCATTTCTTTATGGCAGTAAAAAGAGAGAAACAACAGCTTCAGTAAGTCAGTAATCAAGTATTTCAGGCAGTCTGTTCTCTAAATCATTGGAGACTCACATCATATTTACAGCATCAGAGAAGAAACAAAAATGCTTGCATCCATGACTACAGTATATGACTAAGGCAAAACACTTGAAGTTGGTGTATGAGCATTGTGTGAACATAAGATCTTTTCTATTACTTCTTAACTCCCAACACAGGTAGGATATATTAAGCAATGATACATGTATATATTAAATTGTTTGAATGTAACAAATGTATGCATGACATACTGATCACCAAGACTACACAAGGCCATATTGAACATTTAAAGATATTGGTTGGTGGACGTCCATTGGGAAAATCCGGGAGAAATTAAATATCAAGCTATAGTGACCCCTGGTGGTGGCATGCATTTCAAACACAAGACGTTATAACTTATCTGTTCACCTTCCCGACATGGTGTGAAAAAATGAAGAAAAGCCAGTTCAAGTAAGTCTGTACCAGCAGAGTAGGGTTTTCTGACATAACTTCATCTACTTCCAAGGTGCATGTAGAAGGGGTAAAAGTCTGTAGAGGCCAAAATTTCAGCAACACGTTGAGGATCAAAATGATCAGAACAACAGTTTGTGGCCTTTCTCAGGGTCATCATAAAATACATGACAAAAACATTTAAAGGGATAGTAAGTGATGGTAATCCAAAACATTTATATATTTCCTCAAAGTTTGCTCAAAAAAAAAAAACTCCTACACAGCCCTGGCTCTGTAAATGGAAAACAATGAAAGTGGTGTGGACTTTGCCACACAACACTGTTCCAGACAATCAGCAAACTGTTGCTGCACTAACTCACAGGAGTAATGGGGGGGGGGGGGCAGTGGAAGAGAGAGTTATATTCACCGACACATTCAAATGGGCTGGACTACAGGCACTGTGAAGAAGGAGAGATGGCCGAGAAAAAGGAAAAGCTCAAAAGAGTACAAACAGAGAAGAAAGTTATATGACCAGGAAAGGTCGAAGGTGTTTCAACGCTGGCGAAACCTCAGAGATACACTATACACTATACTTGGGAGGCAGGGGTTCTGAGGGAGCACTGAAGGGAGAGGTGTATTTGTTTGGCAGTTGAGTTAAGATTTCAACAATCCTTCTGCAATATCACTTACTCTCCCTTTAAACAGGTATTAAACAGATTAAATTTTAAATTTAAAGATTGATGAAATATAGAAAAGGCAACCAATTATATGTCCATGTACATCAGCCAATGGGACACCATGCTGGTAAATCTGAATAAATAATTCTTTGGTGTGCATGATCTAAGTAGCTCAAGCAAGCGACCCAGTGGGCTTCAAGAGGTTTTATACATCCAAAGAACTTCTATAAAGACCAGACAAGTCAGAACAGGCTGAGTGCTGTAAGGGTAGCTGCTGTCACACCCTGGGACAACACTAGGCCTGAGCTGACAGATTTGAATGATACAATTTCTAGTTGCACTAAGTCAGGTGTGTGACACAAGGAGGTGGTTGTGTTTTAAGGCTTTAAACTTTGAAACTAGTACATGACAATGGGACTCTGGTGGCTCCTTAAACCTGAGCTATTGTGCGAACAGATCGTATACTCAGATCTTTTACTAAAGTAAAATTAATAATAATAAATCATAATTTATTTGGTATTGTCAATGTGAATTTGCAAACTAGTAACTAAAGATCGCAATGATAATATATACGAATAGAATCTCAAAATAGTACTTATTCAGTGGTGTTACTTTCTGCCACTGGATTAATAAAATTGTGTTGTCTGATGTTGTGACTGTAAAGTGGGACTAAACCGTGCTAGCTCTGCAACTGCTGTGTCTTTAAAACCCACTATTCTCGCCTCTTTGCTTAGAAAGTGAATTTTCCCATTTCCCATCCAGTCACATGGACTGAGCTCTCTGGTGTTGTGAAGTCCATGACGGCACCATTGGCACATATAAATCAATAGTCACGGCTTAAATTCAATTTCATTTATTTAAGTTAATTTAATTTAATTGGGTTGATCAGATTCAGTTTCAGTCACTGAAAACATTTAGCTAATGTGGCAAAAGCGTCAATTGCACTGTGTCAAGCCAAATATCCATTTGCAGACAACAATCTAATCTCATTTCATACGTCCAGTTTTAGCCTGTCAGTGTTTACCTTTTTGGTTGGTCACCCTTTCACAATAAGCAGTACAGTGAGGTAAAATGCAAACAGGAAAGCTGTTACAAATGTGTCAATTCAAATTAATGTAAATTAGAACCTGTCTTACTAGCTGGAATAGTTTGTGCTTTGTGCATATTATATCTCAAATAGCATATACATTTTCATTTATTTATATATAAAATAATTTTATTGTCAGCTCTAATTAAAACTACCTCTTTCATAGTAATGTAATACTACTAATCAATGGCATGGTGGGAAAAAAAAATACACATTTCATTAAAAAAAAAAAAAAACAATTGGTTTATTAATATTGTTTGTACATAGCAAACACTGTAAGAGCAGCAGAGGACCAGAAGTTGTGGTGTGTGTCAGTGTCTGTGTTTGGTTGTGTGGATGTTTTGTGTCAGCAGCAGGGAGGGAGAGCAGGCCGTTTCTCCTCTCAGTTGGCTACGTTCCAGTCAGGTGAACAGCTCTTCACCGGCGACCAGTAGACTTGAACATTGCTCCAACTTGACATTTACTCCTCAGCAAAGGCAAAGAAAAATTACATTTAAAAGAAAACATCCTTCCTAGTGCCCGTGCTTGTCAAATGACAAGTGATAAATTAATTTGAAAGGTAAACCTTCCATTCAGTGAGGCTTACCACACCTTTTTCAGCCTCAAAGGATGACTGAAAAAGGTTTCCTCCCTCCTCTACTCAAGTGCCCCTTGGGTAAACAGTTTAAAAGTGCCATAGATTCTGTCTCCCCTCCCACTTGTAAAAAAAAAAAAAAAAAAAAATATTGTATTCCTCAATACCTTTTCAGAGGTCTCTTCACCAGTGAGAACAACAAATGTGGCAATAATTACTTTAACTTTACAATATTGTATACAAGAATTAAAGCCAATCCTCTTCTTACAGTATGTACAGTCCCACCCACCCCCAAATCCATGGGTATATGAAGACACAACCCTATAACTCCGTAGGTCCAGTTGTCATCTGAAATGATATTGTATTAGTTCCTCAGTTTAACTCCATGTGCCTTCAGCTGTAACTTCCTCTTCTCCACGTCCACAGTTTTTCATTTTGCCAACAACATGTACAGTAGTGCTTTAATTTGTAAACTTAAAAGCCACAGAGGAGGTTCCATTTACTCTTCATCCGTACAAACCTGAAACAGACAAGAGACAACAGCTGTAATGGAAACCTGTTTGATGACCAGTTTACCCATTTGTAAAAAATAATTTTCAAAAAATGAAATGTTTTCACTCAAAATGTGTAAATGTTGCACTCATGAGATGTGATTCCAGGAGGGGTTTTAATCTGGCGATAAACATCACTAATAAAGAATACTACACTGTTTTAAAATGCACGCCACCTTGACAAACGGGTGGTCTAGCAGCATGCTAGCTGTCCAGCGGCGTTTTGGTTCGCTCTCCAGACAGTGGCCAAGGAAGTCCTTCCCCTCTGTGCTCAGCTTTTCCGGGATGGGGGGTTTATGGCCCATGCCTACTTTGTACATGATCTGGAAGTTGTGCTCATACTCGTGCCAGGGCCTCTGCAGGTTGAGATAAAAAGATAAGAACAAAACATCATTTCCGTTGTGGTTTTTTACTTCTGTGTTTGGTGTAGTGAATTTCCTGCAAAAGTATAAAAAAAAAAAAAAAGGAGGAGGATATAAGTTTAACACCTTACATGCATGCATTTGACAAGCTTAATGAGCATTAGATAGCTCAAACAACCACTACCGTTTCACTGCTGTACAAGATGCATACTGTCAATAATGACTAAGGCAAGACATTTCATGTTCTGTGTGAAAGAGAGGATCTTTTCCATCAGTACTTACCTTTCCAGTCACCATCTCAATAAGAACGCAGCCCAAACTCCAGATGTCCGCCGCTCGTCCATGACCTTCACCCTTTGCTCTGGTGATGACTTCAGGTGCCATGTATGCTGATTAAGACAGAAAATAATAATGTTACACCACAAGGATTCATTAAGCAGCAATACAATAATATCACGTAAAGCAGATTCAAGAAATATATTTGTGCATAATGCCAAGTGACCGATACAAAAGAAATCCAACATCACATATTCATCACTAATCATAGCATGTGGGTGGATATCCATTGGTGAGAGGGGAAGAAAATTTAACATCAAGCCACAGTGCCCTCTAGTGCAGGCATGCAACCCAGGCACAAAGTATCATTTCTCACCTGCTGTTCCCAGCGTGCTGTTCACCTCCCCTGGCATGGTGTGAGTGTTGTTTCTCAACTTGACTGAACAGCCAAAGTCACCCAGCTTAATCAGGCCTGATGATGTCAAGAAGATGTTGGCTCCTGATATAAAAAATTAAATATAG